TTTACGTATGCTCTTATAGATTGCCCTTTTCCTGCGGCTCCATTCCGCAATGTCTTATGTACGTCTGGTCCTATAGATTGGGCCTCCCCTGGGGCACGAATCCTCCCCAGGATGCACCAGGAGGCTCCAGGAGGCCCCATCTGGCCACACGAGGCCCCAGGAGGCTCCAGGAAGCCCCAGGAGGTTCCAGGAGACCCCAGAGGCCGCAGGCTCATGCGCTGACACACGCTCGCACTACTGAGACTCAATCACACTCCAACTCATTCAGAGTTAGAGTCACTCCCAGACCGTCAATACTCAAGCCAGTGAATATTACACCACGCAGTTGCGGATAAGAGTGAGGGGGCGGCGCGGGCGACGCGGGCGTCGGGCCGGCGGACCTCGTGGCCCTCACCTTCCCTGTCGATGGCGCCCTCCTCCTCCTCTTCCTCCTCCTCCTCCTCCTCCTCCTCCTCCTCCTCCTCCTCCTCTTCCTCCTCCTGCTCCTCCTCCTCCTCCTCCTCCTGCTCGTCCGCGTCCTCGTCCTCATCGTCGTCGTCGTCGTCGTCCGCCTCCTCCGTTCTTGGCTTGCTCAGTGAACGTAGTTTGGGTCGCGGGTGGGTCGCGGACTCTCCACCTCCACCTGGAAGGAGTTCAAAAACAGCCCGCCGCAGGCGCCGAAAATTTTGACTTGTACACTGAACGCGGTTTGGGTCGCAGGTTCTCCACCTGGAACGACTGCAAAAGAAGCCCGCCGCAGGCGCCGAAAAATTTTGGCTGGGTCGCGTCGCGGGTGGGTCGCGGGTGGGTCGCGGGTGGGTCGCGGGTGGGTCGCGGGTGGGTCGCGGGTGGGTCGCGGGGTGGTTGGGTCGCGGGTGGGTCGCCGGTGGGTCGCGGGCGGGTCGCCGGGGGGGTCTCGGGGTGGGTCGCGGGCGGGTCGCGGGGTGGGTCGCGGGTGGGTCGCGGGTGGGTCGCGGGTGGGTCGCGGGGTGGGTCGCAGGTGGGTCGCGGGGTAGGTCGCGGGTGGGTCGCGGGGTGGGTCGCGGGTGGGTCGCGGGTGGGTCGCGGGTGGGTCGCGGGTGGGTCGCGGGGTGGGTCGCGGGGCGGGTCGCGGGGCGGGTCGCTGGTGGGACGACGACAACAACAAACAACAAACAACAAACAACAAACAACAAACAACAAACAACAAACAACAAACAATAAACAACAAACACAACAACAACAACAACAACAACAACAACAACAACAACAACAACAACAACAACGAGAATCCGCCTCGCGGAATTCCACTTCAGCCACGCACCCAGGGACAGTGAGTGACCGTTCGGTTCAGCCCCCTCACTCTGACCAATCTTGCGCCTAGACACTCACGGTGGACAGGTCCACGCTAATAGATGCACATATGGGGAGCTTCACGCAGTGTATACGTATTGATAGTCTTATTGTTATTATTCCTCCTCCTCCTCCTCATCCCCCTCCTCCTCCTCCTCCTCCTTCGCCTCCTCCTCCTCCTCCTCCTCCTCCTCCTCCTCCTCTTCCTCCTCCTCCAGTCCTTGGCCTATAAATAACTCCTCCCTGCCTCGCCCCGAGGCCGTTCGAAAGAGCGACCGGGCGTGTCGCCAAAGACTTCCTCACCAGCTATGACCCTGAAGAGGCTTAGAAAGTGTCAGCATCTTCACAGATGGAGGGCGGGCCGCTTCCAAAATGTGGCTCTCGCCCTACCGCCGCGCACACTCGTTTCAAAAACGTGCAAGAGCTTCACGGATTGAGGGCGGGTCGTTTTCAAAAAATGTGGTTCTCGCCTTAGCGCCGCGCACACTCGTCGTAACAAATACCAGAGTTTCACACATTGAGGGCGGGGCCGTTTTCAGAATGTGGCTCTCGCCCTAGCGCCGCCCACACCAATTGTAAAAAGTGCAAGAGTTTCACGGATTGAAGGCGGGTCGTTTTCAGAATGTCGTTCTCGCCTTAGAGCGCGCACATCCGTTGTAAAAGCTTGCGACAGCTTCACGGATTGACGGCGGTTCGTTTTCAAAATGTGGTTCTCGTCTTAGCGCCGCGCACACTCGTTTTATGCCAGAGCTTACCGGATTGAGGGCGGTTCGGTTTCAAAATGTGGCTCTCGCCTTAGCGCCGCGCACATTCGTTGTTGCAAGAGTGTGAGTGTCCTCCTCCATGGCGGCCTCCTCCCCTCTTCTTCCCCTCATTCCTCGTCGCAGCGTCGCAGCCCTTTCTTCTCTCTCTCCTTCCTTCTCCTTGCTCTCCTCGCGTCTTCATCCGTCTCTGTCCGTCTTCCCGCATCCTCCCTGACGGCCGTCCTTCTCCTTCTATCGAGGTGATTGTGAGGCTCTGAATGGGCAGGAGTCGGAGGAGCACATCGGGCCGCGAACATGCGAGTGCAGCCATCCCCGGCGCCTCCCCGTGGGGGTGCTATGACCAGCGCTTCGCTCGGGATGTCCTCGCAATCTGCTCTGAAAGCCGAGTGGTCCGAGCCACCAAGCAGGCAGACCACCTGAGACCTCCCCACAAACTGGCTGCGGACGGGCTGCGGGCGGCTCCCCCTTGAGATCCTCAAACGAGCGCCACGCTCGAGGCATCCTCACTATCTGCTCTGGAAGCAGATTGGCTCCGGCCACCAAACAGACAAACCGCTAGAGGCGTTCCCACAATCCAGGCCCCTTTGGGTGCTGAAGCCAGCGCCTCGCTCAGGACATCCTCGCCATCTGCTCGGAAAGCTAGCGAGCCTGAGCACCGAAACAGGCAAACAGCTTGAGACATCCCACTATCTGGCCGCGAACGGGCCCGTGAAATACCACCTGGCAGCTCCCCCCCTGAGAGTGCTGAAACCAGCGCCTCGCTCGGGACATCCTCACAATCTGCTTTGAAAGCAAACGAGCCTGACCACCGAAACAGGCAAACCGCTTGAGAAATCCCCAGAATCTGGCCGAACCGAATCAAGCCAAGCGCCTGAGACATCCCTATGACTCGGCCGCGAACGGGCCCGTGAAATACCCCCTGGCGGCTCCCCCTTGAGGTGCTGAAACCAGCGCCTCGCTCGAGACATCCTCGCGATCTGCGAGCGTGAGCGTGATAGACTCTCACGAAGAACGAATATGAGTATGAGGATGAGTATGGGTGAGTAAGAGTGAGTCTGAGTGCGAGTGAGTCTGAGTGTGTGTGAGAATGAGTGTCAGCGCGAGTGAGTCTGAGCGTGAGTAAGTCTGAGGGTGAGTGAATCTGATTATTGATGAATCTGTGACGTGGTCTGAGTGCGAGTGAGCCTGAGTCTGAGTGACTCTGAGTTGAGTGGGTATGAGTGCGATGAATGAGTCTGCACGTGAAGTCTGAGCATGATTGAGTCCCAGTGAGGAAGGGAGGAAGGAAAAAGTCGGAGGCGTCTTGGCAACATCCTGAACCCCAGTTTAGGATATGAGGAACAAGAACCCCATCGTGGGATATGGGGAAAGTAAATTCGGGTCGCACGGACTGCAACACACAAATCATCGTCGGATGCCTTGATACGGAAACCTGCAGAATCCGTACAAAAAAAACTGCATTGTCGAATTCGGCATCTGAGCTCACTCGGCCCCCATTAATGGCTCGATCGTGGGTCCGAAAGGCGGCTGAGTGGGCTCACACGCCGAACGTGCTCAGCAGAAGACTCGAAGGTGAATTCAAGAGAGCTCCATTAATCTGAAGGCAAACATCAGCTTCGGGAACCTTCAACCAACCTAAGAAAATGCCCGAAACCTTTGACAACATCCGCTTCCTTTCAAACGGGCAATCATGGTCAGAGGGTGCTTACCGCGTCGCGGCGGCCCCACCGACACGCTGTGTCCTGCGAGCGGATAGCGTGCCGCTCCACTCCGCGGGGTGCGAGGCTTCGAAAGGCTCGGGATGAGACGATCGGGGACCAGGACGTGTCGCCCCGAGGAATGGTGGGCCAGAATCGGCGGCGCGACACGCTAAGCATCTGGCGCCGGCCGTGGTACCCAAACACCCTTAATCCTCACCCCTCTCTTAGACGAACCCCAGCCCCACTCAGATCGGCAACTAGCGCCCTCCCCTCGCACCCAGACCTGGATCATGCAGGAGGTATCGGCCAGCACGTCCTCTGAAGGCCTCGGCTGGCGCGGTGCGGGAAAGGGCTCCTCATTCCTCCGTCCCTCCCTCCCTCCCTCCCTCCCTTCTCCCGTCTCCTATGACCTCTCCCCCTCCTCCTAAAGGCTAAACAGCGAAGAGTCCCGTAGGCGACCCCGTCGCTCCGCCGATTTACTGCGCCTGCAGCAATTAGTTCGTTTCGCAAAGCGAACGCCAGGCCATCGACCGACCGATAGCTGACAACTGCCGAGGCTTCCGACGGCTCCGGCTCCTCCTCTTCCTCCTCATCCTGATCCTTATCATCATAACATCCCGTTCCCTCCCGTGCCACCTACCCCACCCGCCCTACCTGTTTTCAGTAGGTGGCGAGGGAGGTCCAAGGAGGAAAGGGGGAAGCAGGCGGCGCCAGGCGGGAGCCCGCGCCTGGCGCCAGGCGGGAGCCCACGCCTCCCTGACCGTCCCCTTGCTCCTTCGGGAGGGCAGGTGCGGAAAAGGAGCCAGGACGCGGGGGGGCCTCACCCCTCGGGAGAGGGGGCGAGGTGGACGGCCCCGAAACCTTGAGCCAAAATGGTTTCGGACACCGCACGGCCCACCCACCCCCCCGGCCCTCGAGGGGGGGACGTTACCCCCACACCAATTGGTTCGGTTATGTCCAACATCCCCTCCCTTTATCGTGCTACCTACCCCATCCGCCCTACCTGTTTTTAGTCGGTGGTGAGGGAGGTCCAAGGAGGAGAGGGGGAAGCAGGCGGCGCCAGGCGGGAGCCCGAGCCTGGCGCCAGGCGGGAGCCCACGCCTCCCTGCAAGTGGCTGTTCCCCCCACCTCCAGGGGGGGTGGACATAACATGCACTCAAACTGGAGGACAAAGAGGAGAGGGGGATCGCTGAACTCCTCATCCGCGTGAATCCCTCCGAAGCACTTCTCGCACACGCGTTTGGTGTCGACGCCCGCGGGGATGCCGCCGTCGATCCTGGAGTAGGTGCCCCGCCCGAACTTCCAGCCGCACTTGGTGCGCCACAGGTCCGGGGAGATGTGCAAGCCCTCGACCGCCGCCTTGCGCCAGGAGCCAGTCGCATTGTTCTTGATCGTGGCGCCCTTATCGGGCGCGCAGATCCCGTTCCTGAGGTTGCGGATCTCACGCTCAAGCGCCGCCGCCGCCCTGCTGTCGACGTCGTTGATCTTAGACTCGAGCTGGTGAATGGCCTCTGTGGTGGCGGCGGTCGCTTCGTGTTTTTTCACTCGAAGCTGTCTCATCTAGCCCCGTATTGAATGACTGGAGTACCTCGTTGACGTGCAGGAGGCTCTTCTTCTCGACAAAGTCTTGGGTGATCTTATTCAGCGGGGCCTCCTTGGCGTAGTATAGCAACATGGGCGAATGCCATCTCGCAATGAGCTCGATCTGGTAGACGTGCAAGCCGACAGACGCTAGCATCCCGGCACCTCCCAGCCGAGCGGAGTGTCCCCCCATAAGCCCGTCGCCGTCCTCGTCCAGAATCGGGAGGCCCGCCATGCTATACATGGTCTCGTACGTGATCACGACCTCCTCCTTCTGGACGGTCTTCCCCGCGATGGTCGGGAAGGAGGCCTCCCTGGTGGTCGGCGAAACGGTTGAACACTAGCTCCTTCTGCCTCCGTGCAGCGTGGAATGGGAATGCAAAACATGAAGCCGCATCGCACAAGCATCCCCATGTCCGCGACGTGGTGAGCGCTGATGGGTCCGCCTTCGATCCCGGCAGTATCCATGTGACCTCCGAGCGCTCCAAGTCCAGGATGACGTCGACGCACATGGAGACGTTCGTGGAAGTCATGTTGACGGGTCCTATCGGACCTGCTGGGGTCAGTGGGAGCTCGCCGATCTTGCCGTCCTTCGCCAGTTGAATGATGGCTCAGAGGTCGATCGGCTCTTTCTGATTTCCTGGGACGATGTCCCTGGATACTGACCGCGTGACCCGGCGTGCCTCTAGGTCAAGCTGGTCCGTCCAGTTATCGTATCCCTGAACGTGCAGCTCCTTGATCTCTGTCAAGTAGTTCGCGAACGATCTGTACATCCCTGCCTTGAAGAGGGCGCCGACCGCCTGGAGCTTCTCCGGTGCGAGGGAGAGTACCGGCGCGTGCGGTCCGAACCACTCGACGTGAAAGGTCTGCCAAGTCTTGAGTAGCGAGTCATTTGCCCTTTTGCAGAGGCCGCTACAAAGTCCTGCTGTAGTCTCGTAAGCGCCTCTTGTCTGAGCCCTTTGATCTCGCCGCCGCGTGAACCCGCTACAAAACCCTGCTGCGACCCGCTCCTTGTGAACTCAATCCTGGGGGCGTCGGCTCGCTCAGCGAATGGCAGGCGGGGTCTCTGTCTGCTGTCGTTTCCCTCCGGCGGGCGCGGCACCCTGCAGGCCGACGAGGTGGCTTCCTCGTGCACCCGCGAGGCCCCTTGCGTTGCCGAGCGGTGGCCCGCGCCCCGATACAATGCTGGAAATGCTGATGGACGGATGGATGCCAGAGGCCTTGCGCTTGCCCACACGGGCTTGAGCCTAAATGGTACGGACGCGGGGGCCAGGTTACCCCCATGGCCCGTAGGCCGTTTCAAATCATTCAACCCTTGTTTTCCATGAGGCGATCCAAGGGTGGCGACTGCAGACGGCCCTACAAGTGGCGCGCGTCCTAATTTCGGCTTCTCGAACCAAGCCTGAGGGCTCTCGAGATCCAATCGAGGACCCAGGGGTGGCGCGCGCGATCCTGTCGCGCCCACGTCACGAGGAAGGGAGGCCCGAGCCCCAGACGAACGCCCCCACCCGACATGGGCACCGCATTCCACCGCTCGCGGGGCCACGGGGGGCCACGAGCCACCAGCGGGGGGTCGGATCCTCAGGCCCCCTCGAAACGCCCCCCCCCCCCCCTCAAACTAATGACTTAGATCGACCCCCCCAAGTTGCAGCGCCACGGTAGACCACGCGCCGCGGGCAACCGAATCTCACGGATGGCCTCGTGAGGGGGGGTGTTTTTCAAACCTGCAACGCAGACTAGTACATCAGCCATGCAACAGCGGGCCTGCGGTTGCAGGCGAAGGCGAGACTAACCAATTCTACGAAAAACATTCCTGCGCTTATCCCGCCCCACTCCTCTGCACCTGCGAAGCGGACGGGAGGGCGCGGAAGTAGCTCGGCGTGCGAGGCGCCACGTGACATTCGGTGGCGCCCTCAGGGGCCCGCGGCTGCCGAGCTCGATGCTCGGGCTGCGCGCGCCTACTAAGCTCTCCGGCAACATCGCCGGCGATGCCGGGGAGGTGCACGTAGACTCTGGGCTTGTAAGCGCGGTCGCCAAACTCCAGCGCCATCTCGCGGCAAACTACGCCCAGGCCGTACGAGGATGTCTTCGCTCGGAAGTTGAGCAGCAGGGCGAGGGTGGAGATGCTGTCCGCCGTCGCTGCCAAGCGGGCGCCCTGCTGCAGCCAGACTTGCTTCCATAGCCTGAGCGCCACCAGCATCGCGAGCGCCTCCCAGACCTGTTGCCCCGCTGCCTCGCCCAGCGGCGCGCGCAGCAAATCCGCGTCGATCTGGGTGAGCGGACTCGCGAAGTAGGCCTTCACCGCGCCCTCGATCAGCAAGTGTCCGCCGAGGCCCCAGGGCGACGCGTCGGCGACGATGGACACGCGCATGGCGTAGCCGAAATACGCGCGCACGCGGCACTGCCTGGAGAGAGCGCGCCCACGGTGCCGGTCTGAAAGGCGTGGGTCCACTCAAGCACCTGGGCAATCTGCTTCGTTCATATGCCTCGATCATGCCCGCGATGTGGTTGCCCTTGCCGACGAGTGACTGCACGTCCTTGATCGGTGCGATGTTGGAGCTCCTGCTGGTCGTGACCATCTGGCTCACGTCGTCCACGATATCTTGCTTGGCTGTGACCTCGATCGCTGGCTCTGGGTCCGTCCTGCATGCGAGATGGGCGCCGACCCAATCGACCTCTTGGCCTCTCTCGGCCTTCTTGAAGGCGAGCTGGATGCCACGGGCGGGCCACGTCAGGATGACGATGGCGAAGCATCTGTCGCGCTGTCGTGCCAGCCCGCGTGCTGCAATGATCGGGTCGTCCACATAGATATGGTGGTGGATCTCCGAGGGCCAGAACATCGACTGCGCGAGGTGCGCAAGTAAGGCTGCCACGCACCCGCAGACCAGTGGTGCATTGACGCTGTCCTGCGCCATGGTAAGAAATATGATGAACTCGCCGCCGTGCTAGGCGACAAAGTGACGCCGCTCAACGTGCTTGAGCGGGATGTTGTAAAACCAGTCTGTGAAATCCAGCACTAGCCACTCTACTTCCTGCATGGGCTCGTGCTGGCATTCCCTCAAAAGGTAGAGAGCGTCGCCAATCACGTCGGACAGCCGCAGGAGTACGATCCTCTGCCTCTGTCGTGCCGATGCGTTAACTCCTGACTGCTTACAATCCAAGATGAGCCGCCTCTTGGTCTTGCCATTCTTGATATTGGTGATCATGCCTAGCTTGGAGACTCTCGGCTTGGCCCCCAGCCATGCTCATGCCTGTTTGCACGCCTGAAGGTGATGACGTAGCCCGTGGCCTGGGTCATCTTCGACTGACGAGTAGTTGTGGAACTCGGGCGTAGTCGTCCAGCGTGTTGTAGTCGGGCCCATCGGTCCCAGGGTCGACGCTCGGGAAGATGCCCGGGTCCCCGGAGTCCACCTCGATGCCTGTTGACGCGCCCTGCTTGAGCCATGCCTCGGCTATGCTGCCGTCGATGTCGTTGGCTCTCTTGGCCCAGGCCGCCAGCTGGCTCGCTCTGATCGGGGTGTTGTACTTGCCGTTGACTACGCATGCCGCGTCGCTCGCACCCGCGAGCGTGCCCAGCGCGGTCGCTAACTCGTCAAGCAAGTGGTCGTCCGGGCCTGCCGTCTCCGCGTCGGAGCCGATGGCCTCTAGGCACATCTTCTGAATGTGGGGGTTGGCGCCCAGGTGCTGCTCGACAATATCTGAGCTGCTCGCTGATCGCCCCGTATGCCTGCATCCTGTTGATGCTCTGCCTGGGGTGTCTCATGCCCCCGATATACATCTCGTTCTCGTGCAGCCTGATCTTGCCGTCGTTCGTGCGATCGCCTTTGGGTGAGTGGATGCAGCTGATCCCGCTCGCGGTGCGTCGCTCCATTCTAACGCCATGCGGCGACGAATGAGCCCGGGGCAAGCCCAGGTCTTGCGCTCTAACGCCTGGCGACGAATGAGCCTGAGTCATACCCAGGACTTGCATTCTAACGCCTGGCGGCGACTGGGCCTGGGACGAACCCAGGACTTGCGTTGCGATCTAACGCCCGGCGACGATTGAGCCTGGGCTAAGCCCAGGACTTGCGTTCTAACGCCTGGCGACGACTGAGCCTGGGGCGAACCCAGGACTTGCGTTCTACCGCCCTGGCTCGTCGGTCTGGCGCCCCGAGGCCTGACGCGGGTGTTCCGCCAGTAGCCCACGTTGACGAGCTGCTGCGCGATCAGTTTGCCGCCCTCGATCTGCCTTTCCTTCAGCGCGAGCTTGACCGCGAAGTACCTGTTGAGCCCTGCGGGGCATGCCTGCGCCGAGCTGGTGAGGGAGGGGGCATCGCTGCATTTGTCATGGTATCGCCTATCGTCGAGGATCATGTCTTTGCTCCTTGTCTCTGCAGGCATTAGCCGTTCCTTGCCCACCAACGGCGGGCGCGGTCCGTGACGCCACTCGCCGGTGGAGGGGCGTCTCCACCACTGCGGTTCGTGATCGCACCTGTTGGCCGCATCCGGGAGGTCTATGCCTATCGCGATGATGGAACTGCCCTTCTCGCTCTCGGCGCCGCACCCGCCCTGGGCAAGTTTGAACATGCGCACCTCGTCCCGCTTCAGGATGATCTGGAACTCGTCGAGGCCGCACATGCTCGCGCTCTCCTCGTCCTCTGGGTCGAAGTGCGGCTGCTCGTCAATGATGGGCGCGCCGTCGTTGAAGCTATCCATGAGCATCTCGCTGGCCCGCACTGCGAGTAGGGTGCCGGCCTTTACTTTGTCCTGGTCGGCTGGCTTGAGGTCCCTGAGTCAATATCTGTCGCGCCCTGCTGGTCGCCGTAGCGGCGATGGTCCGCCTGTGCCACCCCTTCTTCGCCTTCTTGCCCTGGTGAAGGTGTTGCGCGGCGGGGCCATGAGGACGCCTGCGAACTCTGCCTTTCTCGCCTATATCCTACGCCAGTTTTCCTCGCTCGTGAGGTCGCACTCGTCGCCATTGACCTTGCCCCACTCCTCGCATTCGCCGCCCATGCCCCGCATGGCCTGCGCGGATCCGCCGCGTCTCCGAGTCGGTCCGCTGAACAGGCACAGGAACTTCAGGCCTGCGGCTAGGTCGCGAGGCAGCTGTAAGTTGAGGTCCATGGCGTGGGCGCTGGCGTCGGAGATGGAAGATAAGAACACTTCGCGAGTGGAACCGGTATCCCTCTTCAGCTTCACCGCTCTGCCAGGGCCAGAGCTGGGTACTAAGCGTCTCTCCAATACGGGACTCGATTCATACTCATCCTGCTCTTCCAGCGGCTGCATATTTGAGGCCACCGAGGGCGCCGCCATCTCCCTCGGTGGCCAGGGCGGGCGTTGCCCCCGCCCAGCTCCCGCGCCCCCTGCTCGACCGCCGCCCCCCCCCGCCAGACTCGTTGGCGCGAGGCGGGCGGGCGTTCTTGAGGTTGCACTGGCGGGCGCCGCGGTCGATAGACAAGCACTTTGCGCACTGGTGCTTGAGGCGAGGGAATATGCGACAGTTGTTCCTGGCGTCGCGCTCCGTGCAGTCGCCCGTCTGGCATGCCCTGCACAGCTCGACGTCCTTCCCGTTATACGTGAAGTGGCCGTCTGGTCCGACCTTGTAAGCGCGGCCCGGGTTGTTGCCGCCGCTGCTGCCGCCGCCCTGTGAATCAGGCCCCCCCTCCCCTCCGCCGCCGCCTCCCCGATGCTTCTTGCTCGGCGGCTGAAACGGAGGTAGGGCCGCATGGGCGAGCACCGCGCTGCTGGCGCCTGACGGCGGCTGCGGGGGCGTCTGCATGATGGGCGCGTCGTCAGATGCTGATCGGCGCATTTACAGCTTTAGCCTGGTCCACGGCACTGTTCGCCTCCGAGATAATATCGGGACCATTGTCCTTCTGGTAAGCGGGCGGTTGCTCGCGGCGGCCGACAGGTCGGGCCTCGCCGTCGACGCCAGCAAATTGAGCCCTCCGACCACACCACGGACTGCTAGCCTCTCGGGAACCCGATCGGCGCCATGAGCTGATCCGCGCACTCCTTCATGGACAGGGTGAAGTGGAATTCGTCGTACTGCGTCACGCGCCCGTCGATGGTCCGGGTGATCGTCATGCCGGCCTCGCGGACCTTGGGGATCTCCGATGTAGCTCCGAGCCTCTTTCTGAAAGATCGTCCACGTCCAGTATCACGTTGTCCTCGACCCTCTCGCCTTCTCCGACTTCAGGGAGAACAGGCACTTGTCATAAGGGTTCTGCTGATAGCCCAGCTTGGGGGGGAAAAAAGAAGAGGAAAGAGAGAAATCCGCCGACCCTGTCGGCGTGTGCGAGGGGCTTGGCTGTTCGAGTCGTCGTCTCCGTCGGTCGTCGCCTCCGTCGCCCCCTTTCCCTGCAGCTCCCTTCTCAAGCTCGTGAGCGAGAGAAAAAACTAGCAGTGTCGTAATCGAGTCGAAGGGAAGTCCCTTCCCTTTGACCCCTTCCCCAGGGGGGGGGGTCCCGGGGGGGGGCCCGGGGGGGGGCCCGGGAGGGGTCCCGGGGGGGGGCCCTGGGTGAGAAAGGTTCAGATCCCAACCGGACGCGTGAGATCCAAACTGGACGGTTCAGATCCCAACCGTCAAGGACACGTGGGACGCGTGAGATCCCAACCATTTTGGAACCTCTGAAAAGCTCCAAGCCTCTGCAAGGTTCTGAGAGCCACTGCGAGCCTCTGAGAGATTATGAAAGATTCTGCGAGATTCTGAAAGATTCTGAGAGGTTCTGACAGGTTCTGCGAGATTTTGAAAGATTCTGAAAGTTTCTGCGAGATTCTGAAAGATTCTGAGAGACTCTTGAGAGATTCTGAGAGATTCTGAGAGGTTCTGAGAGATTCTGAAAGATCCTGAAAGCTTCTGAAAGCTTCTGAAAGGTTCTGAAAGATGCTGAGAGATTCTGAAAGATTCTGAGAGGTTCTGAGAGATTCTGAGAGATTCTGAAAGATTCTGAAAGCTTCTGAGAGGTTCTGAGAGATTCTGAAAGGTTCTGAAAGATTCTGAAAGATTCTGAAAGATTCTGAAAGCTTCTGAAAGATTCTGACAGATCCTGAAAGCTTCTGAAAGATTCTGAAAGATTCTGCCATCTTCTGAGAGATTCTGAAAGCTTCTGAGAGCTTTTGAGAGATTCTGAAAGCTTCTGAGAGATCCCTGAGAGCTTCTGAGAGATTCTGAAAGATTCTGAAAGGTTCTGAGAGATTCTCAGAGATTCTGAAAGCTTCTGAAAGGTTCTGAGAGTTTCTGAGAGATCCTGAGAGATTCTGAGAGCTTCTGAGAAATTCTGAGAGCTTCTGAGAGATTCTGAGAGATTCTGAGAGATTCTGAGAGGTTCTGAGAGATTCTGAAAGCTTCTGAGAGATTCTGAAAGATTCTGAAAGATTCTGGAAGATTCTGAAAGATTCTGACAGCTTCTGAGAGATTCTGAGAGCTTCTGGGAGAGTCTGAGAGATTCGACAGATTCTGAGAGATTCTGGGAGTTTCTGAAAGATTCTGAGAGATTCTGAAAGATTCTGAAAGCTTCTGAGAGCTTTTGAGAGATTCTGAAAGCTTCTGAGAGATCCCTGAGAGCTTCTGAGAGATTCTGAAAGATTCTGAAAGGTTCTGAGAGATTCTCAGAGATTCTGAAAGCTTCTGAAAGGTTCTGAGAGATCCTGAGAGATTCTGAGAGATTCTGAAAGATTCTGGAAGCTTCTGAGAGGTTCTGAGAGAATCTGAGAGATTCTGAAAGGTTCGGAAAGATTCTGAAAGATTCTGAAAGCTTCGTACAGCTACGACTACTACGACTACGGCTACGACTACGACTACGACTACGACTACGACTACTACTACTACTACTACTACTACTACTACTACTACTACTACTACTACTACTACTACTACTACTACTACGCTAGTACTATTACTATGACTAAGTACTTCTACGGCTACTACGACTAC